GGACGTGGCTCTGTCACTCCACCACTGTCCTGAAATCATTAGTCTGTATTGTTTTAGAAAAACTGTCACATGACAATAAACAAAAATGTATCAGTACTCGTACTTGTAAGTAAGAGAGATATCTCTCGATCTATACGAGCTGTCAGAATGCCGGCAAAAGCCGGCATCTGTGTCCGCTCTGCTGTGACTCTCAGACACCCGATATTAAGGTATCGGGTGTCTGAAAAAGGTTAACCCTTTCATTAATGAATGCCTCTGTAGTAAGGGCATCCATTAATGAATGTTAAAAGCTGATTCTCAGCGATTAACAGCCCTCTAAAGCAGCAAATAACTCGTCACGTACAGTGTACGTGACAAGTCATTTGGTCCCTTTGTGGCTGAACGTACAGTGTACGTCTCCCGTCACGAAGGGGTTAAAACCGAGATGTACAAATCCCAGGAGCTCCGTGTGCTCCTTACAAATGACAGCTGCCTCTTAATTTTTGAATTTTTCTCTAGTCTAGTCTTGGAGCTCAAAAGTATCGGTACATGTACTCGGTATCTGTGCAACCCTAGTTTATTTGTTATTAACACCTTTCATATTCAGAAGCATTAGACAGATGTGTCAGCCTGAGAAAATACTCTTTTAATAAAAGGAAATAGGGTGGTTTATAGATAAGGGGTATTTAGCAGGATATTGTACAACAGTGAGTGCAGCTGCAAAGTCAGGCAGGAGAAGAACCAGACATCACACCTTACATTCCACTCCAGAACATTAGGTATACCCAATGCACACTGCATCCTGTACCTAATTACACTTGGAAAACTACAACATATACCCCAAATATAATCAGCACACTCTACCATGCATTCAATAAATACACCCATTGAAAAACTCTTATTAAATTAGCAGGTTGTCATTTCCCAAATGGTAGATCTGAAACTCACACAATTAGCCTTCACGATCCTTGGCCTTTTTCACTGATGTGAAGCTCTGCCGAAGTACACTCAATGCATCCTGTTAAACTCAGCACCATGCACTCCACTACACTCAGCACATTGCAACATGAACCCCACATTACTCCGCACACCACATTATACACCCTATTACACTTATTTTTGCACTCTACTCTATTCATACACTACAAAAACAGCCCCCCCAAAAAAAAGTCAGCCCAAAGCACAATTTACCTCCATTCCATTATAGTTGGAAATTACCAGGCGACAATCTTTGTGATATCCAGTCCTAGGATTGGGGGACAGGGCATAGAAGAACAGGAGAAACAGGATGGCAAACATAGCAGGTATGCAAGAAGTAAGGAGAGAAAGAAAGGAATGGGGGGCGGACTGTAGGGGGAAAGAGATAATTCTTCTTGATCCCCATTCCATACCATAATAATATCATCAACATTTCCCTGCTGTGTAAACTGTTAGATGCCGATCTGAATGGAGAAAAAGCTGTCAGCTTCAGACATGAAGCTGACAGCTTTTTCCTCCATTATTCTAGGTGAGGCTCTGCCTCCCCTGACCACACATCCCTGATTTATACAAAAATGTATTCACGACACTCGGTGAATTACGCCCCATGGCTATGCCCATTTTTTGTCTGTACTACCTCTCTCCATACCAAAAGTAATTTCTATCAAGACAAAATTCTAACGCTGTCAGAAGGAAATCCTTTTGTTCTCGTGGTGGCCTATGATCACTAACAACAAACCAACGGCTGATAACGCCTCCAGATGGCTAATATTGGTGTACAATTATCTTCCTTTTGCTGTAATGAAATATGTATTTGTGCCACAACCAATCTTCTATTATTTGTATAAGATGTTTAGTGTCGCTAAGATAAGTCTCGCTTCTTTGAATTAATCCTTGCAGAAACAAGTCTATATATTCCCCCAATCAACTAGTGATTGATCCTATTCCATTTGCTATTGGTCTGCCCGGGGGATGTTGTATAGTGTTATGTATTTTTGGAAGACAATAAATAATAGGTAGTCTGCATTGTGATGGTACTAAGTATTTGGATTATTTTCTTTAAAATGCCTCGCTGTTTGGCTCTATCTATCACAGTGGTTCTCAACCTGTGTAACCTCAGGACCCACATTTGTCCTCGGTCATTAAGTCACGACCCAAGTTGCACTGCAATGGAACGCACGGCATTGCGGTTCTGCGCGTTCCGATGCGGGCAATAGAACTGTGGGTGGGAGGTGCATTTCGGGTGCCATTCAAATGAATGTCAATGCAATGCACTTCACACCAAAATGCGTGGTAGGTGCGATTGCGAAGTACAGTATGTTAATCGCATTGTACTAGTGTGAATGGGCCCTCAACACACAGACACAATCTCTCTCACACACACATATACACACTCCCAAAAACATTTTTTGATCTATTTTCAAGATCCACCCAGTCTCCCTAGTTTATGAGAACTGGAGGGGATCCTTAGCTTTGGGGTCCGGTGTGGGCTGCTGTACTGTGATGGAGCTCCATCCATATGTGCAGTGCTTGTACAGCTCCCTTGCACACCTTGTAGAGGTGCTGAGAGCCAGTATGTTACATCACTCCAGTCCAGGCACCTCTACAGGACAAGCGAGGGAGCTGTAAGCAATGCACATATGGATGGAGCTCACTCGTGACCATAACCCCATTACATCCCACCTCAAGCTGACACTCGGCACCGGGCAGCATATTTTGATTGGCTGCTTGGCGCAAGAACTGACAGTGCTGCACTAGGGGGAGGCTGAGGAGCCTCACACCTAGAAAAGTGGAAGGCACACTGGGACCCACTGAACACAGGGTCGCGACCCACTTGGTGCATGACGTCGCATGTGCAGCGTCTGGTGACATTGCACGTCTGTTGGGGGGCATCATTTTCTGTTCTTGCCTCAAGCGCAAAAGGAGCTAGCTACGGCTCTGATCTGCAGGTTTCACAATGATTTCCTTTTGTTGTTCTAAGTCCTTTATACCTTTCGTTATAAATCCTGGATTATAGGCTTTTGTCTGGGTTTCTTCATGTGGAAATGTGAAGGGCACAAATTTAAAAGGGAAGTATGGTGATAATTTTACAATTAATGAAGCATTATTTTGGAAAAAGCTCACGTGGAGAGTCTATATGAATGGAGTTTGGACATATTTATCTCTAAAGACTTACAATTATGGACACTGATTATAGTAAATTATTGAGTACATTTAGTTATTTATTAATTTGACCAGAGCGAATGCACAGCAGGCCTCAGACCAGCACCAATACATGTCAGACCTCAGAACAGAACCAATGCACGGCAGACCACAGATCAGCAGTAATGCATTGCTGAACTCAGACCAATACACGGCAGACCTCAGTTCAGAACCAATACATGACAGACCAGCACCAATACATGACAGACCTCAAGCCAGAACCAATACATGGCAGACCACAGACCAGCACTAATGAATGGCAGCCTGGGCAGTTTGAATGATGCATACACATCATCCCCGGGATCAGCCATCACACACAGCATGATCCCCGTGGGACGTCACCCCCCCATCCCCCCACACACACGTTAACTGGCAGCTCCTTCTAAGCCAGCACACGGATGAGTGCTAACCTTCAGTGGATGCAGGAGGCCGGGCCCCCGATGTGGAGGTTCTCAGGCAGATGCGGAGGGTCTCGGCAAGGGCAGATTCAGAGGGTTTCACTAGTGGCAGATGTGGTGGGTCTCAACAGATGTGGGTATGATTCCTCCAGTGGGGGGCCTAGGGCTGGATCTCAGTGGGGCTCCCCAGCCTCCGGCCCTCGCTCAGCCACATATTGGTGGTAGGTCTGCCCTCTGACTGTACACCCTCCCCCCCACCCCCCCAGCGTGACATGCCCCTCTGCTATATCTAGCTCTTTTCGGCCATGCTGTTGCCAAACTAGATGTGGCTGTGTTAAAGTGGCGACAGCAGTGTCTGATGGGCCCAGGAGGCGGGGGACACTGCTGTTGTTTCTTTAACACAGCCGCATCTTCTTCCATGCAGGCTGGAAAGAGCAGGGGGGGAGTACTCTGCCCCTGCATGCAACTCACATTTGAGAAGGACAGTATCATGGTATTTTCTCTTGGCAGGTTTACTTTAAAGAGGAACTGAACTCGAAAACAAAAATGTAATGTATCGCTACTAACCAGTCCCCAAATGTGATGGTTGCATTCATTTTCTTTTGTCTGTGTTATTTCCTATATTTTCACCTGGCAATCTTGCCAGTAACACACTTCTTGTCCTATGGCAGGGGTAGTCTACCTCAGCACTCCAGCTGTGGTTAAATTTCAAATCCCATCATGCCTTTGGTTGTCAATGCCTCATGGGACTTCCTCAACAGCTGGGGTGCAGAGGTTGCCTACCTGTCTTAGGGTGACAACGCTTACTCGCCTTTCTATATTGACAACAGAAGTAATATAGGACCCATCCGTCTCCTATTGTCTGTAACATAGATGGGTCTGGTTCTGTAGTCCTTGGAGAACACTCACATTGATAACAGGCAGAGAGTACAGGAAGTTATCATTCTCAAGATTTCTGGCTGGATCAACGGGTATTTCTTTGAACGTCTCAGACAAATATGACAAAACAGTTTCAGAGGAAAAGGGAGGGACTAAGAAGATTATTTTTAAGGCTAACATACACTTTAACGATAGAGATCTGGCTATACAATCTAGAGGAGAGCGGAAGTGTCTGTAGCAATAAGACTTAATATCTATATAAGCATGCAATGCTCTGATCCTGGTACAGAGAACAGTCAGCACTGATCTCATTATTACACCTGCGCCTTCTCCTCCAGCCAATCACCTCCCGCAATGTCAGCCACCTTCCCCTTATTTTTTCTGCTACCCAATCATCGCTGAGCGGGACGTCACCTCTAGCGTTACATACGGGGCGTGGCTTTTGAACTAGCCAAGAATTGACCAACGAGACGCGTTGACGTGTCTAGAAGAGGAGCCAGTGAGGAAGCTTGGACGTATGCGGATTGGGCGTTGCTTCTGTCAGAGCCGGCTAGCTAGGGGCGGGCGGAGGGTTAGAGCGGATCCAAGATGGCGGTGGTGTGGAGGTGAGAGCGGGGCGTGTGTGAGCACACATAGCCCTGGTGTGTTCTTTGGATGGAGGGTGTTTGATGCTTTGGATGGCGGGGAATGAGAAAACCTGCTGGGCGGCTGGCAGTGTGTGCTGTGTAGGGAGAAGTGGGAAGCTCATGGCTGCTCCCATTGTTTATTTGCGGTTAGTAATTGTGAACACTAATCTGTAGCTGTCTGATTTATACAGCGCAATGTATGAGGAGGATTGTGCAATGGGCGCTCTGAGTATTCCATGTTCCATTGGTGTAACATGGTAGCAAAGGTAAAAATCAGCATTTAAATAGAAGTGACATGGGCACGATAGCTATGCTTGGATGGAAACCTGAAAGCCCAACTCCAAGTAAATATGATCCTCCCATTCAACCCATTGTGTAAGGTTTTGTTTGTGCCTGCACCCAGTACTGTTTCTGGGTGCAGGGACTACTAACTCAGCATTGTAGATGGTCCCTCGCCGCCCAGGCTCTGACAATCCCCTTGCTATGACCACAGTCTTCTTCTATATCCTGAGAGGATCCCACCGCTGGACAGCCAATAAGAAGTGTCCATGTCACTGCCAAAAGAAGGATCCCGATGGAAAAGATACGAGAAGGCTGCAGCCTCATTTGACCATGGCTTTAGGTAGGTAAAAATGGTGTTTAGATGTTTGTATATCCAGCGATCAGGTGGAGGGAAGGGGTTAACTTTATCCTAGACTTGGACGCGAAGTTGTAAAAGAGAAGGCTGGGTTCTTTGGATGCATTTCAATGCTGGAAAGAGATTTACTAAAATGGATAAAGATTAACCGCTAGACTGAAGTCTTCCCCTTTATTGAGCAATGCTGCCAACAAAACCAAAAGTCAGCAGAGATCATGTGATTACAAAGGCATTGGTCATGTGTTCTCTGCTTAAAGCAGGGGCAACTCCAGCCCTCCAGATGTGCTTCAACTACAAATCCCAACATGCCTCTGGGAGTCATGCCTGTAATTGTCAGTTTTGCAGTGCCTCATGGGACTTCCACCGCAGCTGGAGTTGCCCACCCCTGGCTTATCCTCGTTCGCACCTGGGCGTTTTATCACTCAAAGATAAGCGTACCAACACGCAAGACAAGGAATTCCATTCATTTCTATGGCCCCTGTTCACACCTGAGCGTTTTGTCGCCAGAACAAGTACATGAGCTACTTTTTGGCAGATTGCAGAGCTTGTTGGTCCCGTAGACTTTAATGAGGAACTTTGTGTGTGAACAGGAGCCATAGAAATGAATGGGATTCCTTGACTTGAGCGTTTTGTCCCGCTTAGGTTTGAGTGACAAAACGCCCAGGTGCAAATGGAGCCAAGGATAGGTTTACTTTTCCTTTTGGTCTCTTCAAGATGCCCTAATCAGTCCCACCCTCCCTCCTACACAAGTGTATACTGACCAAGTTCTGACGGGCCCGGTCTCCATTGTTTACGTTCTGCGGCAAATGTCTCCCTGCGCCATACATCCCCATTGACTTCTACAGGACTCGTCTACCTCTCTCTCGTGGCTGGGACAAGCCTCTTAGAAGTCAATGGGGATGTACTGCCCAGGTAGAAGATGGAGACGTTTGCTGCAGGATCTCGTCGCGTTGCCTGAAGGAACCGTTGTGCGTTCCGAGTCGTTGCTATACATTGTGAGATCTGATTGGATGTCAATAAACAAGGTCTCACATTCTTGGAACTCAAGTGAAGAAATTGCCAACACTCGTGATTTGCTAAGCAGCACCCATTCTCCAGTTTTGGATTCTTACCAGTTAGGAGAGGTATGGGTTATGGACTGAGGTTTGCTGCAGGATGTCCACAAACAATGGAGGCCAGGTCCGTCGGAACTCAGATCCTGTGCAGGGGGAGGGTGGGATCGATTAGGTCAGCTTAAGAGAGCCAAAAGGATAAGTGCACTAGGATAAGCAAGTCTGAATTCTGATCCTGTCCTTCAGCAGGGGGTCACATGACACAATGTCTATGCATTTTGGTGCAGTATTTTTTTTCCAGGACAGGAGTTTTAGCAATTTTATGTGTTTTTCATTTGAGTAGATTAGTGTAAAGTTAGAACGTCTGAAAAATCTTTTATAACTGTGTGATGCCTCACTGGGGAGATTTTAAAGAAGAACTCTGGGTAAAACTTTTATTAACCCTTGCAGTGTTGGCTTAGTCTCTTAACTGCTTGTTTTTGTCGAGGTGCTACAAAAAAAAAGTTATACTCAACCGAACGGCTGAGCCGGCTCCTTGTTTCTCTGGTCTCTAGCTTCTCTTCTACGCTGCAGCATTGGAATGTTCTTATGCGTCCTCACATCTGTACATAGTGTATAGAACATGACCTTAGACCTCTGCAGAGAAGGGGGAGAGAGGCTGGAAGGATCGGTCTAAGACAGGGGTAGGCAACCTTGGATCTCCAGCTGTGCTGAAACTACAAATCTGATAAGGCACTGCAAGCCACAGGCATGACTTTGTAGTTTCAGGCTGGAAAGCCAAGGTTGTCTACCCCTGGTGTAAGAGCAAGCCTGCTCCGTGGTTCAGGTGAGTATATCTTTTTTTTGTTTTTAGCACCTAGGGAAAAAAACGATCAGTTAACCCTTGCAGTGTTGCCCCACACAGGGAGCAATAAAAAAAGCTGATGGGGGTTCTAGCCTTCCCCATCTCTACTGAAAAAAAGTGTTTATTGCCATCTGTCATCCATTTGTAGATTTTCTTTCATTTCTGCATTGGTGTGACAGTAAGTGAGGAGAAATCTCTCCACTGGAGCCAATGGGAGGAATAAAAGCTGAGAACGTAACCCTCCTCTACCCTGCACTAGCAGAGAGTTTTGCTTTTGAGATCTACTTTGTAGTGTTTGAAGGTTCACTCCAGGGAAGATTGACAAACGGCCATGCTGGTTACAGCATACAATAATTTAGTTTAATGTGAAGACTTAAGTTGGCCATAAACTGTTAGAATTTCCTTTTTGAAAGTTCAATCCAATCATTGAGTCAAATAATTTTTAGTTTGAAAGCCCTCAAAAAATTCTCCCAGATCTGGTACTTGAATGAAACTCCAGACATTATACAGGTCTTTTGTGTCTGGGAGTGCGTATATACAATATGTACACTTTTTTTCCTGAGCAGAAATCACATTCATGGTTAGAACTTTGTTCTTAAGAAATGAGAACGTTTCCATCCTGCTCCTTAGATGTTGCTTGCCACTGTGATTTGAAAACAAACGTTAACCATTAGAAATTCCAAATAAAGTTCCAAAAACGCGCATTTTCATACAAAATTCTACTGGTGTATGGCCAGCTTAAATTTACTAGAATAAAATCACACAATGAGAAAGCACCACTACTGTAAAGAAACAGTACTTTACAGTAGTGGTGCTTTCTCATTGTGTGATTTTATTTGTGTACTCACAGGGTTCCTCTCCCTGTTTTTGACAGAGCCTGCACACTGTATTCCTGTTTACTCACGTTTTTATAGCCGAATAAGGTTTTTTACCCAGCAGGTAGTGCGCTCTAGCCTTTTTTGTTGGTTTTAAATTTACTAGATCCAGCCTGGAAATTGTTTACAGTTTTAAATGGTTGGTAACCAACACGGAGCTTTGGAAGTAATACAATGTGACGGAGCAATCAAAGCCAATGCTGATCTTCAGTGTTTATGTTAATACTGTTGTGATGGACATTTCAGAGAGATACAGGAATTTGTATACTGGTATGTACAGTATCTCTGCCTGTAATGAGCAGGAATCCTCATGTATTCAATTGATTTGTATTATGGCGAGCCCACCAGTATGACCGGAAACATGCGTCCTTGTATCTGTGCTGCTGGTGATGGAAGGAATACTTTGGTCTAAACTCACATTTTTGTATTTGTTTTGGAATCTGGTGTCCTTTTTAGATGTCCTTGCAATATCTTGTTTAGCTGGAAGCGAAGATGGTAGGATTATGAGGGCGTACTATTGTAGGAAATTGGTGAGCTGTGCTATTTCACATCCTGAATCCAAAAATCCAAGAGTATTGCTACCAACCATAAAGTCATTACGTATTTTTACGGATTTACCAAGTGCAGAAGGTAGAACAATCACTTGAGCACACAAATCGAATGCTGCTATATCGGCCAAAATTAATCCATCGGGCCCTATCAATAGATCTTTTTTTTTTTTTAAAGGGACATTCTGGAAAATTAGCTGCAAGCACTCTTTTTGGGTATTCTGACGGTGGGCAGTGCCGCTGTCAGAATACAATGTACACAGCAGGAGATTTGTTCAGCCGTGCTGTTGGCGTTGATGGAGTAGTCTGTGAGATGTTTTTCCTTCACCGGGGAGGCTGAACAAAAAAATATAAGTGTGTACCCAGCTTAAGTCATTATTGCCCTTCTCGGAAGAAGAAAGCGGAGCAGAGGTTACCCAGCATTTTATACTTTAAAGCAGGGGTCCTCAAACTTTTTAAACATGGGGCCAGTTCACTGTCCCTCAGACATTGCTGGGGACCGGATCATATTTTGAAAAACGGGGGCGTGGCTGTGGTGCCGCACCGCCACGCCCCCTCCCGTCCCAGAACAAAGGGGGAACGTTAGTGAGCAATTGCTGTGAGTTCCAGCAGCTGCTGCTCTGGTGTGAATGGTGTTGCGCTGCTAAAGGAACCAAGGCATTTGGTTTGCCTTGGCATGCGCCCTAAGATGAAAGGGCGCAGCCGCGCAGGCCGAACACAGAAGCTATACAAAACACAAAAATTCCCCAGCCTCAACCTGCCAGCCAGCCTGCAACCAAGCAGGTAGCCCTGTCAACAGTATGCGTTAAAATCGGAGGTTTTAGTTGCACAAACTTTTGGCCAAAAATATGTAGAAGCCACACTGCCGCACCAAGGCACCTCTGCAAAGTGTGGTCCTAACTCTATGTATCCGAGTCTCCAAGTGTGAGCATATTAATGAAGCTGATAAATTACATGCAGGTGTACCTGGAGGTAGCCAACTCCTCCTGATAAGGTGCAGGGACGCACTGGAGGCCCAGCAACCAAAAATGCACGCTGGGACTCCAGTGTGTCCCCCAAACCAAAAATAGTCAAACTAGTGAAAACTAGTCAAAAAAAACCTGTCAAAACTCAACTTTTTATAAAGGCATATTTAAAAAGCAGTGAATCTGACATTCTCCAAATATTCTCTGCAGGTGAATCAGGTTTGTGGTTTACATGACGTGATTGATTCACCACCAGTTATGTTCACTGCTCTTTAAACATGCCCCTTAAAATCCTAGTTGGACTGGAATAATGCTGTAACTTAGTTGCATTAGTATAGGAATAGTAGGCAAGCTTATCTGTTAACTTCTCCAGGTTAGAAAATGAAGCTGGGATCATTGTATTTGGATAAAGATCACTTCACGATTGAGAGTATTCATAAAGCAGTTTTTGTTAGTAATCGCAGTATTCATAGCTTGGCCTCTTCTTGTAGACACCATTTCCTGGTGAACACTGGCAGGAAGTGGGAGGGGCTTAGTCTTTAGCTGCACTAGTTTGTTTCCTAATGTTGGCAACATGTCTGACACCAGAAAGAGGATCTGTCACCATCAGATCCTCTTTGTTACCTAATCGTTGATGAGGGCCAAAAGGGTCAGAGCAAATTTTGCCTTTTAAAGGTAAAGTTATTTTATTTAACCTCTTGCCGTCCGCCCGTAGTAAAAAAACGGACGGACGGCACTGCAGCATCTGCGGGAAAAAAAGCCTGGATGGGAAGGGGGTTTAACACCGCGGATGTCAACTGGTTAAACACCATCTGAATTGTTCTGCTGATCGTTTTTACATAAGGTTGTCATTGAAGATGATCCCTGCTCATGCCCTTTTTTTTTTTCTTTTTTCTTTTTTTCCGTCATCTGCTCAGTTGAAATAGTCTGGTGACATTCAGGCTTTTTGGTAACTTTTTTTTTTTTAAACTAATAACATAAGGTACGTATGATTTAAATAGCCATTTCAAGCAAGGAGCCGCTTACTTGCATTGACGGGCAAACCCATCTACAGGTACCTTGGCTGTAAAAATAACGAGACGTGATAAATTTGAGATAATGTCCAATCTCTGGAGACTGTTGCTTAGCAAGGTGATAGAAAATTGTGAGCGTAGAGTACCTCATGGAAACCAATATGTTTGTGATGCTTTTGTCGCTAGGTGATATCATTGTATGCAACTGAGCAATCAGAAAATGTAGAATGGTTTTAAAACTCCAGTGTTTGTTTGATTTGTGCTTTGCCATGAAATGCACTAATTGATTTTTTTTTTTTTTTCTTGAAGGCTCCTGGAGCTTGCTCTTGTGTTCTCGGTCTGTCTTACTCCTGCCCTAAGTGTTGATAGGAGCAACTTCAAGACATGTGAGCAGAGCTCATTTTGCAGGTCAGTAAGTGGGTCAATCAACCTGTGGGGTTAAAGTGTATATCAGGGCTCAATAAAAGAAAAGCACCTAGCATTTTTGTGGACTGAGTGGTGTCAGCCCTGCCCAGTTCTCTCTTACCAATCTTCTCAGACTCATCACCTACACTCCCATCTCCACAACATCAAGGCTGATCATTGTGTAGTCCCCAGATAAGGACTGAAAAGGCAAACTTCCTCGAGCTAGCAGAGGACAGCTCTGAATTTCTTACATGAACAATGGATTTTCTTTGGGTTTTTTTTTTGCACTTATCAAACATATGTACCAAAATGATTTCAATTGAATATTTAACAGACCAAAAGGTAGCAAATAAGAGACGTTCATTGTTGGTGTTTACATACACTTTAGCCTCTGAGCTGGTATTTGGACAGGAAGTTGAGTAGTTAAATATATGGGCATATTAAAAAAAAAAAATCACACCCTCCCCAAAAATTCTGTCTGCAGGCACTTGATCCAGGATGGGCTGTACATTATTGCCCTGGACCTGCTTTCACTTTGTAGGGTGTACATTCTTAAAGGAGAAATATGGGGTTAGGGCTTTTCCCCATAGTTCTCCTAAGGGGTCACGGGAAGACACAAACTAGTGTCCTCCCGTCACCCTAAGCTCAATATAGCACGAGCTACAGCTCTCGGTATACTGAGACGCCACAGCCGGGACTGATCCCTACATTGCTGTCGAGATCCACCTAGCTGCGGAATTGACAGCTGGCTCTGCCTATCCAGAGGCAGAGTCAGTTGTGCCCGCCCCCTCCCCCGTCTGTTCCGCCAGTCAGCGCTGGAGAATCAGACAGGGGAGGGGGGGAATTCCTGCACGGAGCAGTGACTGACAGTCACGGCTCTCTGCAGGGAGATGATCGAGAAGTGAGCGAGCGACGCTATGTGTTCGCTCACTTCCCGATCTACTGAGCCGACCTGTGACAGTTTCATTGTCACAGGTCGGCTCAGATTATGAGGTTGAGTGCAAATCACTCGCCTCATAATTATCCAATTATTTTAGTAATTGACCACCAATGTCTGCTAAGTAGGTGAGACTTATTGAAAACAATGCAGTTTTCAACCAGTCAGGCCTAGGCTTAATGTGTGGCTGACATTTTAGCTAAGCATTTGTTGATTGGGTAGGCTGATTGTGTGAAGTGCCCCATTCACATGAGTGGTGGACTTTATTGCCCCACTGAAAAGCAATCTGGGATGGATCACTTTTCCAAGGGTGGTAGAGCAGCAGCTTCCAGGTGTTTAGGAGGAGATTCTGTCACCTCCTGAATGCCGGCTTTTTTATTTTTTGATCCTGTGGGGGATTTTATATGGAAGTACTGTGCCAACGGCATAACTAACATTTTGGCACGCAGATGTTCTGCAGTCCCATTCACATCCATGGTTGCATTTGCCAGGCAGCAACGCCTGCTGAAAGCAACATGCTGTCTGATTTTTTTTTGCTGCGCCATAAAGCATTGCGATCATGGCAATGTGTACAGCACTGTCAGGCGGAAGTGCTAACTTGTCATCAGTTGACCAGGGAGTGGTAAACCGCAGATCAGCCGCCTGGTTTTTTTTTTTTTTCTTTTTCCTCCCTTTTACTGTGAACGAGGCCTTAAAAGGCGAATCTGCAAATCCTATGTAGGTAAAGATACTAATGGAAATATCATATAAAATCTGAAAGTTGCATTACAAATTAAGAAATCTCACAGTAAAAACTCAACATGTATGCTCAGAGAAAGTACACTATAGTTTTCTTAATCAGTGTTGTTTGAGAAGTCAGAATCTTTATCTCCCCCCTTTTTTTTTTTTTGTTCTTTGATAATACTGCTTGTGTGTATACTAGCTGATAACAATATTGTTTTAACAAGCATATTGTTTTAACAAGCAGTAACTGTGTAATTACAAGCAGTCCATATCTGAACATTAAAGTGCATTTCCCTTTTTGCAGTCCAATTTGGATATCCTGACTTTATATTTGTGACATGTTCCCACTTGTATAACAAGCATACCCCCCCCCCAAAAAAATGCTTTTTTTTTTTTTTTATTACTTGCTATCTTTGTTGGTATTCCAATTTTCCAAATCTTAGTTGGTTTCTATGTAATGTTAGGAAGGGGCAGTGCAAAGTGGTTTACCATAATTAACACTATCTGCATGGTGCTGGCAGATGTAATTATCCGTTGTGAAATAGATATGGACACTGTCTGCCCTAACAAAGGTAAGATCTCAGGGCATTGGTGGTGCATTCTATGTTAATGCACTTTATAAAAAAAACAAACCCTAGTCTAATTCACTCGGACCAAGTCGGGTTTGTAATGGGGCGTGAGGCTAGGGATAATACCATCAAAACCGTCCTTCTTATGCAACATGCCCAACAATCAGGACTGGTTCCACAGGGCCAATGACAAACAGTGGGTCAAGATTGAGGGAGTGAGTGCCGCGTCAGACCTAACTGCAATCCCCTGGATTCCCCCCGCTTCTAGTACTATGCCATCGCCACCGCCTATTCTGACTCTCCACGCACTGCGCCTGTGGGATCGGTGGGTATCCCGTTGTGGAATTTCCTCCTATACTGAACCCATGACCCCACTTTTTAACAATCCAGCCTTTCCTCCTGCTCTTCATAGAAGCTCATTTGGCCGGTGGACTAGGGAATCTCACAGAAGACTGGTGGTGGCCATGAGAGAACACTTGTCAGATCCACCCGTCGGCAATATGTGGTTGACAGATAGGCAATTGCACTCCTTTGTGGCCTCCTTCCCTCAGCCGGAAGCTCTGGAGGCGGAGCCTACGGCTTTCGACTCTATTCTTCTACAATCCTCCCCCCCTACACATACCATCTCGATACTTTACTCTCTCCTCTCAGCTCTCTCCTCTTCGGAGCGACCTGCGGTTGAGGGGTGCTGGAGGGGGGGGGGGGGCGCTCCCTGAAACCCTTCACTGTGGGCTCTCCTCATGCAGTGTTCCCTCCTAGTAAGGTGACTCCCTACCCCCTGACCCTTCCGTGTCCTGCTTTTTCTCCCCTTCCATCCTTCGTTACTATTTTTCTACCTGTATATTCCCCCTATGTCTCTACGTTTATGATACACTTTAGGCGTGATTATGGGACTTTATATAGAGTGACATTCTCAGGATTTCAGTGAGCTGGTATAGGCCAATCTCCCTACTATTGATGTCAGCTTTATTAAGGCCTCTGCTGTGGAGGCGACATGGCTGGAAGGCATAGGACAATAATGCTACTGTCCGCCCACTTACTGATTAGACAGAATAGAAGGTGTAGGTTCTACCCCGAATATACCATTGTCATATAAAGCGCTGTGTATCATGTAATCCTATGCAAATTCATGATGTTACGGGCTAATTATCCGCCTTGAATACTAGGCTCTGTGTATGTATATGTGTCTGTTTGTAAAAACCTTTAATAAACACTTGGATTAAAAATAAAAACTGCCCCTCCTATCTGCATTGCCATGTAGATGGGTATGAAATATAGAACAATTTTATATATGTTGTGTGATTAGGAACACACAACAAACGTATTGGGGGTAATTTAAATTTGACTGCAAAGGTAGAGATACACAGTACTCCCATTTGCTGCCAACTATGTATGCCATACCTGCTGCTGGGAGTCCATTTAACCGGGTAAAGCAAACTTTGCTTTACACTGGAAGCTACTCTGGTCACTATTGCATTTTAAAAGGACCAGTAGCAGGCTGGCTATTGCACCAGCCCACTACCTGCTGTATTTACATTCAGCTGCCGTCTGCGCAATCATGCCACTGGCAGCTGTCATGCCTGGGCTGAAGCTATTAAAGCACCATGTGCTTATAATACAATTATAAAAACAAATTATAAATTTAAAATTATAAAAATTCCTCATCCATAGTGTGCTAACCTTTATTGCGTTCAGCTTGGACATATTTTAAAGATTAATAGGAATTGTTAATAGACAATCAATAAATCATAAAGAATCAAATTCCTGGGATGAGCAGGCTCTGCTACTTCCAATTTAAAATCTGAGCTCAAAGAATGATAGACATATACAGAAGACTGTAACGGTAATTGCTATCCATGGTTTAAATAAAGAAACTTTATCCAGGAGCGGACTGATGTGGCTTTCTTGTATATGTAGTTGGTTTAGGTAGTACAGATGAATAACCATGTTTTGTGTTTTAAGACGTCAGCGCAAGCTTGAGCCAGGATCCTCTCAGTATCGGGCTTTGCTTGGAAGTGCAAAATTGACTGCTGACAAGCTTGAGATTCAGCTCATCAATGACAAAACCAAGGTGGGTGAAAGTATTGTATAACTTAATAGTTGCTAAAAAAAATAAGATACAGTATGTATAAGTATGTATAAATGGAACTTTTTTAGTTTTCAAAGTATTTGTATCTGTGTAGCTAGTTGAGTTATCCAGAAACCTGTGCCTGCCTGACTGCAAAGCCAGGTCCTGGAACTCCACTGCAGTAGCACTGACATTCAGAAAATATATAATGTTGGGGGGTTTTACGTCATTTTCAGGCCTAAAATGTGGAATATAACATGGGTGCAAAAATAGAAAAAAGGGCCTCAGTCATGAAGGGGTTAAAGCACACGCTCAACTTGTTGTTTGGGCTGTAAAACAGCAGCAGCACACAACCTACTGTCTGCATTTTAGCTGTCTGTATTAGGGCTGCAACAACTAATCGACATAATCGATTATAATCGATTATTGAAAAAGTTGTCAACTTTTTCAATAATCGATTAATCGGCTTCTGATCAGTTGGCCCTGTTCACGGCTCCACACACGCTGCGCGCCGCACCTCCTCCCCACCTCACGCTCGCCGCTGCCAGACCCGCCCGCATCCACGCTCTTCACGCCGCACCTCCTCCCCGCCTCACACTCACCGCCCGCCCACATCCACGATCGGCACAGGGACGTGGGGAGATGTAGTAAGGAGGAGCAGGTGTGGGGGGATGACAGCCGCCGATAGACAGGCCCGATCTCAGAAGCAAGTTGCTGGAAGACTGCTCAGGTAAGCCTGCACTTTCCCACACATGGTGCTCTATAATGTATTGCTGGGATTTGTATTCCTCTATAGCTGATGGTACATTGTGCTGTATATTATACATGGGAATACAAATCCCAGCAATACATTATATACTGTATGTATAATGTACTATTGCTGGGATTTGTTGTACTCTATAGTTGGTGATATTCTGCACTGCGCTGTATAGAGGACTACAAATCCCAGCAATAATACATTATACAGCGCCATGTGGAATTCCACCAGCTATAGAGGAGCACTACAAATCCCAGCAATAATACATTATACAGTGGTGCACTGCCGAATACCACTGGCTATAGAGGACTACAAAACCCAGCAACAGTACATTATACAGCGCAATGCAGAATACTACCAGCTATAATGTACTATTGCTGGGATTTGTTGTGCTCCTCTATAGCTGGTGATATTCTGCATTGCGCTGTATATTGTACTATTGCTGGGATTAGTAGTCCTCTATAGCTGGTGCAATTCTGCATTGCTGTATAATTTTACACTTTCCATTTCACTATATTGCACACCACACTTTTTTTTTCTTTTTTACTTCCACCGCTCCAAGCTTGCTCCTTTCAATACAAACTAGTAGTCCATCACTGGAGCCATTTTT